GACTCGATCGGACGTCGATGGCGCCGGGGAGACTCTCCGATCGGCAGTTCGGCTTCATGGCCGGAAGGTCGACGGAGGCCGCGGTCGTTGAGCTGCGTCGGATGGTCTCCGCCTCCGAGCGGAGATACGTCTATGCGCTGCTCTTCGACATAGCCGGCGCCTTCGACAATGTCTGGTGGCCTCTAGTCCTGGAGACCTGGAAGAGGCTAGGCTGCCCTCAAAATATCTTCCAGGTTCTCCGAAGTTATTTTAGCGATAGGAAGGTTAGCGTGTCCTTTGGAGACATTCGAGTCTCCAAGGACGCGAGTAGAGGTTGCCCTCAAGGCTCGGTTTTAGGTCCAGCGTGCTGGACAGTTATGTTCGATGGGCTTCTCCGCGAACTAGAGAGGGAGATAGGTAGGTCGTTTATCGCGTACGCCGACGACCTTTTGGTCACGGTCGAAGGCGACTCGCGCAAAGAATTAAAAGAAAGAGGGCAACGAGTAGTAAATTTAGTTAGGATTTGGTGCGAGGGAGCCAAACTCCAGATCTCATCGCGCAAGACTGAGGCTATTGTACTCAGGAGCGAACCAATCAGAAGGGCCCCCATCGGTAGACGGGGAGGAGCGCGTCCGGACCGGAAACGTAAAGCCCACTGGGCCAAGAAGACAAATCTCGCGGCAAGACCACCGACCATTCGTTTAGGAAATGAAAAGATCGCGTTTAAGAAAACAGTTAGGTACCTAGGCATCCATTTTGACAGGGACATGGGAGTATCCTCCCATTGTAGATATCTGAGCGACAAGGTCGGGTCGCTGTTTAGTAAATTAGCTAGGATGGCGGGATGTCAGTGGGGATTGCGCTTCAGCGCGCTCTCTGCGATTTATTGGGGTGTGTTCGCGCCGACAGTGGCTTACGCCGCTGCGGGGTGGGCCGACCTGTGCACGGAGGGTGACCTGAAGGTCCTCAGGACCCTGCAGCGCCGAGCGCTCATTTCGACGACCGCTGCGTACCGCACGGCGTCGACGGAGTCGCTCTGCGTGGTTGCTGGCGCGCTTCCCGTCGACATTCTTCTCCGCGAATATTCGGCGCGATATATGGCAAGGAAGGAGATGGATGCCAGGCTATGTGATGCAGTAGTCCCGTTCACCGGGAATCTTAAAGAGACCCAGGGTCTCATTAGGGGCGAGGCGTACAAGGTGTGGCAGGCTCGATGGTCTTCTTCGAGCAAAGGCCGCACTACGTACGCCTTCTTTAGTAATGTAGAGCGCAGGGTTGATGCGCGGTGGGTCCGCCCTGACCACCACGTGACACAAATGATCACCGGACACGGCAGGTTCCAGGCATGCCTTGCGTGCTTGGGCCTTGTGAAAGGTGGGATGTGTGTTTGTGGGGAGGGAAGCGACACGGCCGTGCACCACCTTCTGCGCTGTCCCGAATTCGGGCCGCAGCGGGAGGCTCTTCGGGAGGTCGTTCCGGCCGCGAGCTGGAAGTGGCCGGAGGCGGCACACTACTTCGTGTCGACTCCAGAGACCTACTCCATGTTCGCGGCTTTCTGTCTGGAAACCCTCTTCTTAAAGGGTCCATATTAGATTTCACAGCGGCCTACCCGGGGGATGTCGGAGCCCCCGGGCATGGGTAAACGGCCTCGCAACCTTCGCGAGATCACCGTGGACCCGGGCCGCTGAGGTAGGGGAAAATTTAATTAATAAAATTTCTTCTTTTCAGGTTCCCACCTCCATCACCCATACCCAATACCCACTCCTCTTTCCTTCCCCTCCCATCCAAAAGGGTCAGAGCGTGTGTCTGGGCGAGACACTAGTGAGCGGGCCTCCCCGTGGTCCCCGTGGGCGTGGGGCGCGCGCTGCAGCCACAAGGGCAGGGGGCGCGCGCGTCACGGCTAAACCGCTCATCCTGCGAACACGTCCCGCAGGCGCTGCTGGATTTTTCCATCGCCCTTCCCCTGTCAGTGGTTAACAAACGGTAGAAGCAGATGGTAGCAAGTTGCGTATAGCCTTCACGGCTGAGGGAGCAAAGCACGGCACGCTATGGGTGTCGGGCTTCACACTAACTGATCCTCGGGACGGTCTTGTTCGCTCACTGCGTCCGCCAAGCGCCCGCTAGAAGTAAAGCTGACAGTCTCACGTCTATTTGCGGTAACTGTGTTGCCGTGTTCGCGAATATTCTATACGATATAACATTCGCGAACTCTCAGCAATCGGAATAGTCGGGAACTTTCTGATGTTAAATAATAGGAGAGCGATTCACCCGAGAGTGATGCGTTGGCGGTCGATGCTCCTTCGTTCCACGATGTCCTCGGTGGTCCTGGTCGGCAAGGGAAGCCGAAGGGCATAAAGTTTAGGGCGCGAGGACCTCCAAATCTGCTCCGCTCGTACAAAATAATCTCGAAATTCTTCCTGATGGCTAACACAAACAAAATACGCCGGAACGCGATAACCAGTAACCCTCGCGAGAATTCTTTCGGGATGCGATATGCGAGAAACAATCGCGAAATGGGTACAATTTCCCTGGGACGGGCGCCTCTGAGGCTACCATGTTACAACTGATATGATTCTATTGATTATACTTGTATGTTGCATATTACGTAACATTTGTCCCAGATAGCCAAACTTGCGCGAGCAGATTTTGCGCAGAGTCTATCAACAGTGTCTATAGATAGAATGGCAACAGATTGCACACAGAATTTGTTCTGACAACAGATTGGTGACAGACTGCGCGCAGATTCTATCGACCGACTCTGTCGACAGACTGACGGCAGATTGCGCGCAGATTCTGTTTCCTAGATAGGCTATTTAGTTCTATCAAGGGCCATATGTATGCTATTAAATGGGGCAGTTCCACATACACACCATGTAAAACTCCGAGAGGAGTCAAGATAATTATATTGTGCAATAATTGTATACATATACACAATAAAAAACAATTTTTACTTTTTTAAATTGTATTACACATTTCTTATAAAAAAGCAGAAATAATAGAGAAATAACGAGTACAAGTATAGTACAAGAATAGTACAACGGTTAAATGGCCACTTAAAGGCGTACATATGCCATCCCTGGTAAAAATTGTTCTCATCATTTTTCATACAATTTCTCATATTATTATTTTTTTTAATGTCATTATGTCATTAAATTTGAACGATTTAACCGTCATGCAATAAATATTGAAGGCCGCAGCACCGAATAAAATATCAGTCCCGCCATGTAAATAGTGGAAACATGTAAATAACTTGTAACCGCAATGCGTCGCGTTTTGGATCGCTTGCTGGTTCGGATTCGTAGGAGGCGGAATAATTTAGAAACAGTTGATTTAATAATTAAACTGAGTCGTATATTTAAAAACAGCTGATGATGTACATTTAAATTAGATATTGAGTGTCGACGCCGTTGGTTTTCGTCGATTTGTATACGAGCTGTCAGAGGCTTTGTTGTGTCAGAGGCGATGACTCACGAGATGCTGTGCGCGGGACGCGGACGGTGTTGTCGCGTATTCGCAAGTTCGTCTGTTGACGTTCTCGGCTTCTTGCCTCTTTAATTCCCGTTGACAATTTCTTTTTGCTATTTCGCTGCTATTTGATGCAATACAGTATAGGCGATATGTCAGTGGTATTGCAGCGGAGCTACACGCGGTGTATCGCCTCGGTGACGGTATCTCGGATACAATTCCTCTCCTATCGCGGAGATTCGGTGCGGTTCAATGTATGTGATGCGGCGGTCTGCCTTTGTACGCGGAACCTTAGTTGATATATCTGCCTTCGTAATCTAACAAGGCCGGCTCATTCTAGCAAGATCGCAAATGCGATGAAGTCGATGCCGCGGACGCGCCTATGCGTCGCGGTAACGGAATGATTCCGATCTCGTTTCCGGAGATCGGTTGGCTAAGTATCGCGGAGGTCAACTCGCATCCTGGCGAGTCGACGACGGTGTGATCCTGACGCGGATCCTTATGACACGGTGTCGAAGCTGCGCTGCAGGGAGCGTCCCGATTGCCTACAGTACGATTGCACACAAACCAATTGATGATAAGAATTATCTAGTGAATTACCAGGTCGAACCAATCATTACAATTTGTGGTTGTTCGGGACTCGCCTCATATTCTCCTAAAGTCTTGTCGCCTTTCGCGATTCCCTCGAATCGATCGACCTAGGCTTCTCGAAGATTCTATTTAGAATTTTCGAGAGGTAGATGATATACAGATTTCTGTATGTGCTACCTGTGACCAGCGTCGCCGGTAAACATTCGGTCTCGCGACACTTCGATCTATTTTGTTTGCTAGCTGGTTGCTATGGCAATCTTAAAATCGGATCGCGAAATCAAAGATCTATAAATCAACAACAAAACAAGGAAAGTCTGTCGATGTGTCGCGAGGCCGAACCAATCACTGATCGCCAGCTTTGAAACCGCGGAGATAAAAGCTCAGTCTCTCTATAACGGGCGATCAATCTCGTGCGATTCTCTCAAATTAAAACGCCGTCTCATCTGGCGCATCTCAGTTTCGCGAAGTCTAAGGCTGCCGACCGTAGCGAGTCAGGCTCTCAATTATTGTATCGCGACACGCGACCTCCAAAGTCTTCCGTCCATGAAGACCTCACTGCGACGAAACCATTGGTCGACGATTCGGCACGTCCGCCCAGCGAGGACGGAAGGTGCGACCAACAGCGACGACCGATCCTGAATTCTCTGTGTCAATAAAACTGTTAATTGGGACAACGATATCAACTCATTGACGCACCACAACCCGTCTCCCAGTGATCCCCGCGGAGCAAGTCCGGCATCTATGCGCTCACTGTAAGCGCGCACAGTGGTCAATCGTACTATCGGCAATCGGGACTTTCCCGCGCTGCAACGGAACGAGACTTCGAGTATACGGTGACGAGTCCGCACGCGGCCACTCGATAGCGATGTGATCTCGCTCGCGCTAAGGCAAAGGCGAGATCCGGTTTGCAGTGTGAAGGTTGGGTTAAGGGGGGAGGGTTATGTAAACGGTCGTTTTTTCAAGAATTTTTTTTTGAAAAAATGGAAAAGTTTATGAAATCGGTATAAAGTACATTGTAATATATAGGATTTAAAGTATATTATATATTTTTTTCATGTAAAAATATTTCAAAATGGCGGCGCAGCAGCTGCTTGAAGTGGGTTCCTACAATTTGCGCCGTGCAACGTCCAGGTCGCTCTAATTAACTGAAATAAAAAAACCAAAATTTTTTCGTTAAAATATGTTAATACGCTTTGCATGACAAATGATTTAAAAAAAATTAAAAATTCAAGACAATTTAAAAAAAATCACTTTTTTGTTACAAACAAATGGTAAAAAACAATATTTATTATTGAATTTTTAATAAAATTTTAATGTCATGCAAAAGGTCAATAAGTCAAAGAATATGTGTGCAAAATTTCATTAAAATCGGTTAAGAATTCTTTGAGCTATATTGCACGGCGCGCGAAATTTTATGTTTTGAGAAAAACGCGTTTAAAGTTTTCGATAGAGAAAAGTAGTGTTTAAGGGGACTTACGGCTACATAAGCTTAGTCTGCGATGCCAGAGCTGTAAAATATGCCTTCCTCTTCTGCAAATGCATCCATTTGAACCGCTGCTTCCTGTTTTTTAGCTGTCCTGGACTCTTTTGACCTGCTTTGGCTACGCTCCTGTTTTTCCACTCAGTTTTTGTCGTACACGTCAGCAAATGTTTTACACTGAAAACCGATTTGCAGTTCCAAATCTGTCATTACTTGTAGAATGTGTAGCCATCGTTAAACATGCCTCCGGCTAAATAAGCAGCAATCTCAACGATTTTCCAGCCGCAGTTTAGATGCTTGGGAGCCAAGCGCCATACGGTCGCATTAAAAGATTCATTTGCATTTTGCGTATAGCCACCCAAGCATCTCTCAAGCAAGTTATCACGGGATAAATCCTCGTAAATTGGCAGTATCTGCTTTTTCACATCAGGATGTAATGGAGAAGGATGAATATAAGCTTGTGCTGCATTTTCAGCTTCGGCGACGCGATACGCACATCACGTCGGCGTCCGGGGGACAATACTAGTGCTGCGGCTCTTGATCGGTTAATATTAAATGGAAATAAGTGGCCATGATTGCTTTTTTCATGTCATTCTATGCGCATTCCTTCGAATGGCTAGGCCATAGTATTTTGTTAATTTTTTTATAAGAACATCAGTAAGTTTCCCCTTACCTCCGAGTTTAACAGTTTTTTTTTAATTTGTTTTAAATTTTTTTTTAAATTTTTTTTAAATTTCGTAGTCGACTGCCCATGCGTTTCTCGACATGACCCAAGCATTCGCTCTTCGTTATTTTCAAATCATCACCGTAAGGTTCTGCATCTATAATGGCTTTAAAAGTCTTGGCGTCTCCATCTCCAATATAATTACTGTACCTCACTCCATAATGTTCCTGGGATCTTTGAAACATTTCGAGCATAGAATCGACTTCCATTTTTCCCGAAGAGCCTCGATGATTTATTGGGCAATTCTCTTTAAGCTCTGCATATTCCGGACCGTTTGAATCTTTGTGTTTAAAGTAGATGCATGCTTGACAATAACTATTTTTAACGATCAGATCTATTACTTTTCCTGAGTGATAAGCTATTAACGTGGTAACACCAAAGAGAAACGAGAACCCGCGCTTTTTCCAAGAACCGTCACCGCTAACAGTCAAATTCTGAATAGATCTCTCGTTCTCTTCATTTATTTTTATTTCATCTTGTACAGCGTTTTTGCAACAAACATCAAAAACTTTCTTAGCAGACGCGTATAAGTGCTGCACTATTCTCTCGTAACCTTTTTTGCCTCAATCCTTGTCCCAAGTCCATTATACCGCAAAAAATGTTTATGCCTTCTCGAGCTACTCCCAGTAATCTCATAGCAAAAACTATTCTTCGATTAATTTCAAAACTATTATGAATAAATGGTCCTGAATCAATGAGTGTAGTGCCACACTTACACTTCACGGATATTTTAAAACCAAGTCCTCTGTCATCTAAATTCCCGAATGATAAATTACCTTTACACTTTCTGCAAATAGCTATGTCAGAAATAGCAGAAAATACAGAAATAAATTCTATGATTCGGTAACAGAAACTCAAATTTACAACGACGTCAGACACCGACGCTTTCATTTTCTTAGCCGACGCACTTGCTTCGGCGTCGGTGTCGCTTGGCACCTCTTCTTTAGTGTCTTGTATAAATTCACCTGGAGGTCGCCGACGACGAGGGCTTGGACGATAGTTCGGTTCACTTTTATCTATTTATCGACTCATTTTTTGCAAATATAATGCACAATAACAACGTAAAACTACTGCATGGTAAGAAAAATAGGAGTATATGAAGAGCACGCTGCCTCTCAACTGTTGGCTCGGAGACGTTACTTTTTCAAAAACAGTTGTTACACAAGCACAAATTATTGCTTTTCCTCGTCAGTTGTGTCATCTAGTGTCCAAATAGCAAGTCTGTGGTGTCAAGGGACCGAAAAGTAAAGCATTCACATACGCGGTCGTATACCTGCGCTCGGTACCCTTTGAAGCGCGTTAC